TAACAATTTACACAACATCAGAAGTTCATATGAACCCAATAAATGCTTCTTGAGGGCTGAACTTATACTAGGTGTATCGGTTGATAATGTGGATTTTGTAATCAAAGAAAACACGATAATTTCAAGAGAAACGTCAGAAGTGCTTTATTCAAAATAATGTCCATCGCTAGCTACACATTTCCCCCATCTTTCAGGTAATTTGTGGATACCGTCCCAACAGAACTTTTCTTATTTTGAGACAAACCCAAAGACCCAGAGACCCAATTTTCCACTTCTTTGTATGTTTTGAAGTGCTGCTCAGAAAGTGCGTGTGCCATCAATCAGAACAAGTGGTAATCTGAAGGAGCAAGGTCTGGTGAATACAGCTGGTGGGTTAATACTTCCCAGGCAAGATCTTTTAATGTGTCTTTAACTGGTTTTGAAGTGTGTAATGGTGCGTCATCATGAAGCAAAATTATTTTGCTGTGTCTTCTGGAACATTCTGGTCGTCTCACGATCAAAGCGTAGTTCAAATGATTGTCGGTAGCAATCAGTATTAATGGTTTCACCTGGTTTTAGACGCTCCTAATACACCACACCTTCCTGATCCCACCAAACGCAGAGCATCGTCTTCCTTCTAAAGCTATTTGGCCTTGCAGTCCATGTTGATGGTTGATCTGGATCATCCCATGATTTTGTGCATTTGGGATTCTCAAAATAAATGCACTTCTCACCGCCAGTCACAATGCGATGAAAAAAAAGACTTTCTTTCATGCTATTGAAGCAACATTTTACTGATGACTTTTCTGTTTCCATTTGTCCTTCGTTCATGATGTGGCACCCATTTTCCTTCCTTTAAAATCTTTCCCATTACTTGTAAATGATCGAAAAGTGTTTGCTGAGCAACGTTTAATCTTTCTGCAAGGTGTTTTTGAATTTGACATGCATCTTCTTCCAATAATGCTTGTAATTGTTGGGCTTCAAACTTTTTCGTTTGACCTCGATGTTCTTTGTCTTTCACATCGAAATCATCAGTTTTAAAGCGTTTAAACCAGCGTTCACAAGTATCTTGAGATAGAGCATGTTCACAATAAGCTTCCCAAAGTATTCAGCGATACTTTTCTTCAAAATAATGAATCAAAACTTCCTGCAAATGCTCTTTTTTTGGCACAAAATTTGACATTTTTAAGTTTAAAAATATCTATTATGTTAGCACCTTCAGAAAGTTTGACATATGAAGTTTTGAAGCTTGTTGTCAATACAAAATAGCATACATATCCAATCACATATATATCAACATATATGTATCATAACTCCATCTATTGAGAAAATTCACGTTATTAACTGGTATACCTAGTAAATACAATATATGAATGTTGATAATGGTATCATAAATATCCCCATTTCATTTCATTTTTAAACAGAAACTTTTATGTGCTATTAATATGAGTTTTCTTAATAATTTATAATCATCACTTTGGGGATTATTTACACCAAGTTCAAAATTTTGTGTCATCAAATAGGTTGACACCTAATATTTGGAGTGCATGTACAGTTATGAAGATATCATTTAGAATGTAATGGTCTCAAAACAAATCCCTCATGTCAGACCATTTTCTTATAATCTATTATTTCTGATTAAAGCTAAATATAGAATTCAGGGAACCAGGAAATATGGCTGCTGTCCTGAAAACTAACAACCGAATCAAAGGCTGCCTCCTGAAGTATTCTTAGGAATGAAATCATCACTGCGTTTATCAGGGTCTTTTTGCATTTCTCTTGTACTTAAAACATTTTTTAGCCATCAGTAGCTGCTTCCCTTCTGTTTTCTGTAATTTCCCATGCTTCTTGGCTTTCATATGAAAAAGTGTTTTGTAGAAATTACCAGCTAATCACAGCACTCTTTTTTTTCTTCTGCATGGCAAACATCATCTGTAATAGTTAGATCACCAATTCTTAGCCACTTTATATGTTTCAGAGGCATGGAGTCATGGAAGAGATGGACATATCTCTGGGTTGGGGGAGGAGGGTGAACAGTGAAGAGATAAAACAAAGAACCTATATACTTATATACATAGCCCCATGGACACAGACAATAGTGTGATGAAAGCCCGAGGGAGAGGAGGGGCTGGTCAGAGTGGGACAAAGGTGGGGGGAAATGGGAAACATCTGTAATACTGTCAACAGTAAAAATATGTATATTTCGCTGAAACCGGTTTGGCTCAGTGGTAGAGCGTTGGTCTGCGGACTGAAAGGTCCTGGGTTCCATTCCGGTCAGGGGCATGTACGTTGGTTGCGGGCACATCCCCAGTAGGGGGTGTGCAAGAGGCAGCTGATTGATGATTCTCTCTCATAGATGTTTCTAACTCTCTATCCCTCTCCCCTCCTCTCTGTAAAAATCAATAAAATATATTTTTTAAAATATAAATAAAAATATGTATATTTAATTTTTTAAAGCAAATAAAGGACAATGATGTTAACTGTTATATTGCACAGCTTAAAAGAGTCCTTGACAATATATTTTGATTGACTTTGTGAAATAATTTTGAAATCATGAAATTAAATTTAAAGTTAAGGATTTAGATTGCTAAAATCATCATCTGACAATTATGTCTCACTTTTAAAGAATACCTGGAAAAAAACATAAGGAACATGTCTAATAAAGAACTCGGAAGACTATATTAGCATTTTAGGTATCTTTTAACTATATAGTCCCCCAGAAAAGTAAAGGAGCCAATGATGGCCCAGCATCTTTACTTCTTGAATTTTAATTTAGTTGCAAACAAACATTTTTATACCTTTGGGTAGGCAAAATCTTCTTTTATATACTTTTTAGGCAACTAGAATTAAGGAAGAAATCTTATCTTCAAATTATACTAGGAAGTTGCAATAATTCACTGAATCCTGTTTTGGTATTATAAAGCTGATCAACATTTAATATTCATTTCTATGCATGTACTAGAGGCAAGGATTCGTGCACCAGTGGGATCCTTAGGCCTGGCCTGTGCCCTCTCACAATCCAGCACCCCTCAGGGGATGTCGGACTGCCAGGTTCAGCCCCAAATCCCCATAGGCCATGCCGAGGGACCCCACCAGTGCATGAATCTGTGCACTGGGCCTTTATTATGCATTTAAGATCTTTGGTTAATCTCTTCCTGCCCTCTATTCCCACCTCCCCCCGACCACTTCCCTCTGAGATTCATCAGTCTGTTCCATGTTTCCATGCCTGTGTGTTGAGCATCTGCCCCTTGGTGGTCAGTATGCATCATAGCTACTGCTCGAATGGTTGAATGGTCAGACCGTTGCTTAGGCCTTTAGATATATAGATAGGTGAGTGTGGTTTACACATTTGTATCTTTTTACGTCTTTTGTATTGCAAACACAAGTTTCTCTTCTGCAGTTAATTAGAACAATAATGACATCCAGTGTCTAGCTTTTGATACTAAGAACAGCTTCCCTTGACTGTCAAAGGATGCAGATCAAAGCTTTCTTCCCAGATCCGCCTTAATCACATACATTTACACTAAAAGAGGATACATGTTAGGTGGTAAATTTTCCTCTTACTCTAATATTCTATATTTAGTCTTTATGCAAGTTTAGTTAAAATGAAAAAAAGAAATTTGCCTTTCAGTTTTTAAAAACTATGAGTGTTGACATATGAAATGATATAGAACAATATCTAGCAAATGGTAGGTATTCAATTAATGTACCCTACATTAAATTGCATGCTTTTGCTTAAAATAGAATAATATATTAATGTTTCATCTTAATGTTTAAGAAATATTATTTCTTTTACAGTTACATGCTTTATCAGATGTTTAGTTATTTGTTTTATCAGATGTTTAGTTATATACTTTATCAGATGTTTATCAGATGTAAGCAACATTTTAGATAGCCACATTTACACCTAGATTTCCTCAGGAAATAATCAAACCATTGGCCTTCACTATTAATAACTGTCAGTGCTATAGAATAAACATTATTATTTTATCAGTTTACATACTGGGAGATATATGCTGCAAACATTCTGAGATATTACATCTTCTTTTGGGATATTAGTACATGAAGGAATAGGTGAGGGTAGTGCCGCAGATCCACTAAATCCAGTGTTTGTTTTGAGTTCTTTTCATAGCAGAACAGTTGGATTTATACTAATCTGTCTTTAGCGTATTTCTGGTTTCTTCTTGACTGTTCTGTGTTTGTAATATGTCTACCCAGGTAGAGAGATGAAATCCATGGTTGTAGAACAGTTGTATATATTACTGCTCTGTGTAAAAATTAAATCTAAAACCTTGATTTGATTACAAACTCTAAAACCAAAGGTTTTTGTACTCCTATCTCATGAAGCCCTAGGATTCTACGAAATAATTTGCAAGTGAAGTAGACTTAATTTTTCAACCTGTTTTCTTAATAATCTGTTTACATGAGACTATTATCTCCAAATCTAATTCCTTTCTCTTATTAAGTCTCCTAATTATTCTTTTACACTCACCATGTTATTTTTACTATCAAATATGTCTTAGCTACTGATTGTAGTCTATCAGAGAGAGAATAAATAATGTGTTGCCAACTATAGGCAGAAACTTAATTTATTTATGACATACAGAAAAGCATAATCTAAAAAAATAGTTCTGTTTTCCAACTTCTACAACTACCATTTTCAAACTTACTGCCTACATATTTACCTATTGTTACTGATGCTGCCATTTTAGATGCCTATGCCTTAAAGCATTTGTTTAAACCTTTATCATTTTGTTAAACTATTTTTTTATATGTCATTCAAATATAACATCTTATTACAGTTCTGTGACTTCAGAAAATTTAGAGGCCTGTTTAAACCAAATAAGTTAGTCATATACTAAACTAACTGTTGTATCTTCATTTACCTCTGTAGAGGGGGAAATTACCAATATTTGTTCCCGGGGAGAAAAACTTCCCCTCCTATAATCTGTGATCATCAGTCTTTGGTTGTGTGCCTTCTCTGTAATGATATAGGTTTGTTTCTCCTTTATTCTTTGCAGAGTGCTGCAGCAGCTCCCAGTCCAGTGCTAGGAAACATTCCCCCAGGAGATGGCATGCCAGTAGGTCCTGTACCACCAGGGTTCTTTCAGGTACTCAGAGAAACTCTGCCTAGGAATGTTAAGGCATAGGAACTCCTCTTTGACTTTATTTAAAGATATGAAGGAGAATGAGACTATTTTTATTCTTAAGATAAACATAATGCTGTGCAGCCAACTCTTGATTATTCAAAGACATTAGCCCTTCCTTCCTATATTATTGTCAAAACTTTATTCATTTATTTATTTTGCTATTTCATTGTTCAAGAAGAGAAAAAAGGGATTGAAATGTAAATTAGCCCTTTAAGTGAACCGTGGTAAAGGTTTGGTAGGAGAAGAGGCTAAAGATGAAGTTCTGAAATGGTTTTTAAATATCTAAGTTATCCATGTCTCCAGAGACTAAAGGTAATCAAGATTTGGCTGTACTTTAAAAAAAATATAGCTAAATCATAACCTATTTACTTATCAAGATTATAGGCTATATCAAAATATTTAAAAATCATCTTTGTGGCTTTTAAGCTGGAATTTTTATTAATATCATTACATCACATGTTAGTATTATAAAATTTTAATAAGAACTCTTATTTTAGCAATGATGATGGTGATTTAAGAATTAAAATACATCCCTTTTTAATTTTATGGCATCCACATTTTAAATTTGACAGTTTTCAAACCCAAACCAACAAAGATTTTGAAATTCATTTATTTTATTACCTGGTTAATACCACCCTTAAAGAAAATTAGGAAGAATTTAGGAGTTAAAAACTAGAGTTGAAGTCATTATAGGAATTAAATGTAATATGCTATAATAACAATATCTAACACAATAACTGCTTAATGTTTGCCATGCTTTGTTCTAAATATTTTACATATATAAACTATTAATCCTTACAATAATCCTAGATGTGAAATATGTATTATTATCATTGCTATTGCACAGATGGAGAAGCCAAGGGTTGGTAGATATAGCGGTTTGTACAAGATCAGAAAGTAATGGGGCTGGGATTCAAATCACGGCTTTCTGGGCTTTTGTCATTAAATTTTCCTTTAAAGTTTTAGTTGATCATTACTCATATACATTTCCAGCTCATTTTTTCTCCCCTCATGCTCTTATTCTCTTGCCAAGTATACATAAAGGGGTAGATTAGGAAGGAAGCAAAATTCTTCCTAGGGTTAAACAAAGTATATAAAACTATGCATTTTCATTTTTTATACTTTGTAGAATGAACTATTCTCCCCTTACCTGTCTTCTGCCTTAATCTTAATAAGAGAAGTTAAATGTGCTTTAATTACTTCAATGTGACAAGTAGTTGAGTCCTATTAGAAGCCAGGCACTGTGGCAGGCATCTAAAAATGTGTATACATAACATGTATCTTCCTGAAGTTCATTGTCTAGCCAGCGAGGCATTAAAGAGAAATAACTGTAATACAGCAAGATAAGTGCTGTAGCAGGGGAAACGTACAGTTCCATGATGACCTAGAAGAGAGCCATTAAGTGCCTGAATTGCAGCTAAGAGGGGTTGGGGAAAAGTCTTAAGTGGGAATAGTATAAGCAAAAGTGTGGAGGCATCAGAATAACCCTGTGCAGAGGTGTTCGGAGTAATAGACACAGAAAGTAGAAGGAGCATAAGCAGAAGTTCCTGGACATAACTTCTAGCACATCGAGAGGGGCCCTGTGTGCCACATTAAAATGGGAGTTTTTATTCAGTAGGCCTGGGAGAGCTGTCAGACATCTTTTAGAAGGACCTGAATTCAAACTATAGAGTGCAGTCAGGTTTGTTAGGCACCTACGATACCATTATAATCAAAGCCCTTGCCCTAAAAACAAAAACAAAAACTCATGGTATGGTTAATGAGAGAGAGAGAGAGAGAGAGAGAGAGAGAGAGAGAGAGAGAGAGAGAGAGAGAGAGAGAGAGAGAGACGGGAAGAGAGCGCGCGAGAGAGAGCCATATAAAATGAACAGGGTGTTCTCTCAGAGCAAATCAGAAGGCCACCAAACCCAATCTTGGGAGGGGCATTTCAGGGAAATAAATGAAATCCAAATTGGCATCTAAAGATGAGTTTGGCAAAGGAGACAGGGAGAGAGAGAAAGAATATTCTAGGAAGAGGAAAAACAATTTCAAAGATCCAGAGTGGAAAGCAGAGAGACCAAATGTAAAAGCAGAGCTTAATTAGCTAAAGGGACAGTGGCTAGTGATGAGTCTCCAGAGGAACCTTGAGGAGCCTTATAGATTAGTTAAGCATTAGTACCTTGATCTTAAGGGCGGCAGTAAGCTATTGAAGGATTTTAAGCAAGAGAGAGAGCTTGCATTTTTAGAAAAATCACTCCAGTTGCCGTGTGTAGCCAGGTTTGCAGTGGGACAAGCCTACGGGTAGGGAGACTGTTGAGGAGTCTGGTACAGTGATCCAGGTGAAATTTAATGATGGCCTGGATTGATAGTGTCAGTGAGTGTGGAGAAAGACGAACAGATCTGAGTAACAAATAAATGTGAGATCATGAGTGAGAGAATTCAAGAGTAGTAGCTGGTTTCTAGCTCTCACCTGGGCAGATGGAAGTTTCATTGTCTGAGACCACAAATGAGGAGTAGGATTGATGTGAACAGGTGAGGTTTCTGTGGGACCTCCAAGAGAGATCTCTTAGGCTAGAGAATTTACAGGTTTGAAGCCTGAGATAATGATCTAGGCTAGAGATAAAAATTGCAGGATTATCATCATCTTAAGGGTGCTTGAATCCACAGTGCCTTCATTAACAGTCCAAGGGGAAAGTACAGAATGGACAGTGAGAGGGGAAACAACGGAACTCCAAAAACTCTAACACTCAAAAGATGAACAAAGGCAACAGAGCCCAATACAGCGCGGGATGCAGGGGGATCAGGTGGTTGGCTGTTACAGTAGCCCAAAGAAGACAGCTTGTGGACATCTTTAAGAACAGTTGTATTTACGTAGTCTAGTTGCTAGACCTTTGGTTTTCTTAACTGAAACTATTGAAAACTAATTGGAAAGGAAGCAGCAATTCCTAGTGGTGTTTGCTAGGTCTCTATTGGTTAACCAAATTAGGAGTAGAAAAGAGCTGGAGGAATCAAGAATGAATCTGAGGCTCAGCCAGCGTGGCTCAGTGGTTGAATGAAGACCTATAAACCAGGAGGTCAGAGTTTGATTCCCAGGTGGGGCACAGGCCTGGGGTTGCAGGCTTGATCCTCAGTAGGGGACGTGAAGTCTCTATTGTCATTGATGTTTATATCTCTCTCTCCCTCTTCTTCTCTGAAATAAATTAAAAAAAAATTTTTTTTTTAAATAATGGATCTGAGTTTCCAACTTTGGGCCTCTGGAAAATTTTGATTTCTTTATCTGACTTAGGAAAGGTGGGACTTAGAAAAAGTATTAGATATGTTTGAGTTTGATACATGTCATCTCTCTATTCAAGGAGACCATTCTAGCTAATCCTGAATACTCTTTTCCTGTTCAACAGGGTAAAATATGTCCAGTTTCCCTAGGAATGTCTTTCTGAAATATTGAATAATTCAAACTATCAACGTTTTTGTTTTTTTTAAATAAGATGTATCTTTTGGTACATATGGGATCAGACTACTCAAGTATTTCCTAAATATCAGCATTGGTTTCCTGCTGTGATTGGGCCCTACTTCAGCATGATTCTGGCCATCCCCTTTGTTAGGGAATACTAGCTGCCCTCTCTGAGTAGAAATATTATAGCAACAAACAATTATAATTCAAGTTCTAACACCAGTTTCTAGTCCAGTTACAAAAAAATATTAAACTCTGGTAGTTACCTAGAGTATGAGAATAGTTTCAAATCCCCATCCTTAGTGAAGAAGTGTAAAGCTTATTTGGGAGCAGCTGGAATGGGACTAGAGCAGGGAAGGATTGAACCTATTAGAATTTTAATGAAATAAAGAAAGAATTTGATGCTCACTTGGGCAGCACACATATTAAAATTGGAATGATACAGAGAAGATTAGCATGGCCCCTGCGCAAGGATGACCCGCAAATTTGTGAAGTGTTCCATGTTTAAAAGAAAGAAGAATTTGTAACTATATAGTATATAAAACTCTGAATTTAGCTATTTGGAGCTTAACTTACTATGTGAACATATCATAAGAAGTACATTAAAATATTTCTCCTAAATAAATAAACATACTTCTTTTATCCACATTGCAAAACAGGCCCTTTTTTTCTTTTCTTTTTTTAAATATATAATTTTATTGATTTTGTACAGAGAGGAAGGGAGAGAGATAGAGAGTTAGAAACATCGATGAGAGAGAGTCATCGATCAGCTGCCTCTTGCACACCCCCTACTGGGGATATGCCTGCAACCAACGTACATGCCCTTGACCGGAATCGAACCTGGGACCCTTCAGTCCCCAAGCCGACGCTCTATCCATTGAGCCAAACCAGTCTCTGCAGGCCCCTTTTTTTCTATTTCTAACTTAAATATATTACCAAGTGGAATTATCACAAACTAAATTTGTGATTATGTAACAACTCTATTTGAATAATAGCAATTAAACTCTAAAATGAATAATTATGATTAATACCTCATACATTGAACAAGTTTATCCTGGAAGATTAGTGTCTTTCTATTTGTGACAGATATTAACATTGTTCATACTTGCACTTTGATGTTTTTATTGAAATGGGAGAGCTTCTGTTGTTGAATAGGAAACCAACTAAGTAAAAATCAATGGGAATAGTTTGACATACAAAGGAGATATCAATTTAGTAAAATAAAGCCATTTAAAGTAAGTCACATATATTTATTTACTTTGAGTCTTTCATCAAAGGAATAATTTATATACAAAACCCTATAAATTCTCAAAGGAAGTGTTCTACCATGGAACTGGTGAAGGATTTTAGAGCAGCTTTCTTAAATTGGAAAGTCTTGCTACGGGAGTCAGAGGGAAGGAGATTTTCTTAAAAGATTTTCTTAAATTTCTACTAGGCTTCAAACCTAAATGTTTGTTGGCCTGTGTGTTCATTTGTCAATGTTAGTGGGAGAAAATACAGTATGGTGGTGCCATGAACATATGCGTAGTGG